AGAAACTCTGTGCATTCGACTAGGCCAATCAGGTCCTGTCTTAAATGTACTCCTGCTAAATAAACAGTGGAAACACGTAATGTTATAAGATTGATACATTAGGTAGTTCCATTTAATAGGAAAGTGTAAGCCAGCTAAACATGTGTTGCCGTCAAGTATACCGAATGTTCTTACGTACATAATTTTCATTTCATAGAATTTACAAATTTACTAATTTAAGACTCCCAATAGCTCATAACTGTAACTGTGAAAATTAAATGATAAAAATTGAAAAAACATGAAAGATATTTACTTTTGTACATACTGACAAATCTGAATCAGTTGAAAGAGTCAGGAATGCTGTTAGATCAATGCTGGGTGAACGTTGAGATTTACCGATACCAACACAACCCTCTTGTGCTTCTATTATACTTTCAAGAGTAAGCAACAATAAAATGTATATTGTATATTAACTTTGAATCAACTATCTGTTCTGCATTTGATAGTACGGAAGCATTTTTTAAATATAAAGTATACATATTCTGAAAGTGAAAACCATGTTGTTCATCGCACATTTTGTCTGGTTAATCTACGAAAATTAAAAGAATAATGCGTATTAAATGTATCTAAGTAACAACTCGGTTATTGTTCCTTACATTTATAAATGTTTTTTTTTAATTATGAAGATCGTATTTTACGTATAAGAACATTTGCGCTAACGTGATATTGAGGTTTTTAAAGCCTAAATAAATCAAGAGATTGAAGGAGTAGTATTCAAAAACCGTTCGGCCACCTTTAAAATGGGATGGAATTGTTCTGACGGACCCCAATCAGTTGAGTTCTTCAAGAGTTTATCGTTTCATCTTTTACGTAAACAAGTCCGTTTAATAATTATACTTTATATTTGTTTTCATTTGCACTTTTTATTTGGATTTAAGTACAGTTAAATCCGCAAAATGTTTTAAATACATTATTTTTTTTAATTAAATTTAAATTCAAGTTTATGATTTTGAAACATTGAAAATTAATTTTACGTATAAATAATAGAAAATTGTTAGAAAAGTGGATATGGAGACAAATATTTCCGTGTCTGAGTGAACGAAGATCGAATTATTCAAAAGAAATGGTTACAATGATAGTGGTCTGGTATTGCTATATAAATTTCGTGCCGTGCGCATGCTGTACAAAAAAATGAAGTTTTTCAGCTTTTAAAAGCAAATACAGTTAATTTAAATTATTTCTTATCTGTATTCTTAAAAAATGAGTATTCTCACACGATAACAATACATAAAATAAAACGTAATTATTAACAATACATAGATATAGTTAACATTGTGGAACTTATTCTTCCAAGAATCAGATAAAGTATAGGAAAATTAAGTAGTAGAGAAACAAAAATATTAAAAAAACACATGCAAACACGTTGTAGCGTTGACCTGTCAACAACTACCTTTTTGGGTGCACGGAAGCAGATATGATTTTTTTAGAAGAAGATTTAGAAGAAGTTTATAGAATTGTGGTTTTCTCATATCAAAATCCTCCTCGAGTTGAAGTAGGTTTCTCAAATGGCCCAAATTCGCCAAATTGATATTGACCTATTGCAAAATTGCTGACTATCAAAGTTGCAAATGCATATTCATCGACTAATATTTTCGAGAAGTCAACTCAAGTTCATCTTCAACATCTTAAAAGGATTTGCTAAAATTATCGTTTCTTGAGAATTGTTCATTGAATAATTCAGCAAACAAGAAAATATATATCTTAACGTTGGTCTTGGAAATGTAGTTTTCGGTTGGATTTAATTCGTTTGTTCTACCCTTATAACCACAGACAGGTTTCCAGAATCCATTTCAGTTTTGAGTCGACACCGTAAATTGCATGCTTTTCTGTTGGAGGACCGAAAACAGAATACAAATCCTAATTGTTATCAGTTGTATTTTTACAAATCAAATGCTATTTTAATATGAGACGCTACTTGTCTTTCTACGGTATCGTGGCAGTTATCTTAATTTTAGTTTTGTGAGTTAAGAATTTTTCAACGCAAAGGCACAGGAACATATAGAACGAATCGGTCTTGCTGCCTCAGCTGTTGTTGATGGCTTCAAGGGTCTGTTCTAACCGTTGCATGTTTTTGTCCATTTGGGTTTTGTTGAAAATTGAGTACTTAACCGTCTGTTCGAGCGGATGGCATCCACGAACGAACAAATAAATGGACGGAATTTCTCCTGTTCCTACAAGAAGGCGTAACGATTGTGGTCAAATCTTATCGAATTATTGACGATTTGCAATTTGACATTTGTCGAACTGTTCATATTAGGATATTCTTAGCAAGGCTGATGACCATAGTAATTGCGTTATGTATTATTAAGTTTTTCACAGCAAATTTTTAGCCAAATACTGACTGAAATATTTTGGAGAATATGTATTTCCAAACAACGAAGAATCAGTCTCCAAACTCAATGAGACCCTTTCACTTTACCAATTATTGCTGAAATTAGCTTCATGTTTTCGGACCCAAAGTTTAAATAATACTCATACAAGGGAAAGATTGACAAGTTTTATAGTCTTATAGCTAAACAACAGCAGTGTAGTGAGAATCGCTGGAAGTCTTCCAATATAGGGTGTCAATTTGAAAACTTCCCACTTTTAGTATCTTTCTTACATTTGAAAATATGAAAAATCGGATAGACCCGTCATTTCTATTTGTAAGTGGGACACTTTAAATTAATATTTTTAGCCTCCTTGTTTCAACTTCTTAGGACCCCCTCGGACTGGTAGATTTCACCCTTAGAATATTAAATGGGAAGGGGGGTCAAGTACCACATCGTTTTAAAGGGCGTTCAATTCTCTTTACATTAGTTATTAATTTGTTGCCTTTTGTCGAGATGTTTCCGGATAATCGCGTCTCAAAGTTGTAGAAACAATTAAACTTGCGTGCATTCGGATATTGGTTTTCACGTTAGTGTTTTTACAAAAACAATTGTATTAGGTCTCCTTATAATATAAATGATTCGAAGAGTCGGCTGCACTGTTGAAATTGTTGAGTAAGAGGAAGAAAAACTAGTTTAAACATTGATTACTGATTTTTCATTTGGATCTTATTTCTTATAATAAATTATTATAATATAATATAATATAAAAAATAAAAGATTATTTTACATCGACAAACATAACTTTTTATTGGCGAAATAGCGATTTCTGCAATAAAACCTATGTCCTCTACTTACGCACCCATCTTATAGGTTGTTTAAGTGTTTCTGTAAATAAGGTCTGTTTTTTAACTCTTCCCTAACATTTCGGAAAACTTCACCGGGAAAATACCTACATTCTGCTGCAATACGCCGTTTAAGATCATCAATATCAGCAGGTGGTGCCTTATAAACAATGGACTTAAGATGTCCCCAAAGAAAAAAGTTTAAGGGTGTTCAATCCGGTGATCTTGGAGGCTATTCAATTGATCCTCTTCTGCCATTCGATCTACCGGGAATATCTTATAAATGTTAGGGAGGGTTCGAAAATAGACCTCATTATTGTTTATAGGAAAATTGACAACATTTTGGACAACTTATAAGATAGTGCGTAAGTAGATCTCATGGGTTTTATTGTGGAAATTTCTCTTCCGTAAATAAAAAGTGATTTTTCTCGAAGTAAAATAATTAATAAATCCGAAATCAATTGTTTGAACTAGATTTTCTTCCTGCTATTCAACGATTTTAACGGTGTAACCGAAACTTCTAATCATTTTTACTATAAGGAGACCCAATGACATAATTTTTGTTTGAACACTAATCTGAAAACCAAAATCTCGCGATTATTCGAAAACATCTGAACAAAAAGCAACAAAGTAGTAACTAATGTAAATATAATGCTGCCTTTGATTTAAGATTGTAAGGGTGATATCCACCCGTCCTAGGGAGTTGAAATAAGGAGGCAAGAAATATTAATTTAAAATGTCCCCCTTACAAATAAAAATTACGGGATTTTCCTATTTTTCATATTTTAAACTGCAAGAAATATATTAAAGGTGAAACATTTTCAAATTAACACCCAGTATTTATCAGGCGTGGAAATAATTTATAAGTACATCTAGATCTCACATTAATTTTCTGATTAAGAAACACGTCATTACATATAGTAATTGAACATAAATTTTCTACACAGTTTCATACGAAACGGTAACATTTCGGACTGAGAAGTTGCAAATATTTCGAATTTATCAACATTTTTCCACACCTAAGATTACAAAACGAACATTTACTTGCAACGAGAAATTTATTATAATAATTTAGTTCTTCAGGAGACTGTAAAACTTTGAGCTGTTGCAACTTTTCCAGAGTTTTTTAGGCGTGAACTCATTATTAGTTCTAATAGAACTAAATTGCTGATAGTAATAAGAGCGCTAATCAACACCTTCATACTATTTTTACTTAAGTTATGAAGTTAGATAATCAATTTAGTTGAATCTTGTAGGGTCATTAAATGTGTTAGTCCGTGTGTTAATTCCGGATAAGGTTTTCGATTGTCCTGGTAGAAATTGTTTGCTCTTGAAAGCCAAAACTTCTTGTTTATGGTAGGCAATGTACTTTCAACATGCGACTGTTAAACTGATATGTATGGATGTAAAATTTGACAACATTTAAATTTGAAACTGCACAATTGGCAATTGCTAACGTCGATTTATTCAACCTCCAATAGTCCATCAAGATTGTAACATTTACACACGGGGAAGGGTAAACATACACTGCTGGTATAAGTTAGTTATTTGGCCCACGAAACATGTGCACTAGGAAACGTGCAACTTTTACCGGCTCTATTCATTATATCTAATTGTCTTCAAGTGGGGAAAGGCAGTTTTGCTTGCTTTTAGAAACACAGTAAAAGATTTACTTAAATGGTTGGTAACCACATTTGCATTTCATTTGTGACACTTTCATCACAGCTACAGGTGCGAACTGCAACGATGACAATTGGATTTACGACACCGCAATAGACCGACAGAAAATCATAAAATTAGCAATGGCTTCCACTATATTCAAGTTATTTAATGTGCCACTACATATATCGACTAATCCACTTCATCTGAAGAAACTCAGCTTTCAATATTTTTACTAATTCTATTCGTCTAAATTGACGACCTTTTGCTTGATTTTTATTAACAATTTTGTTAAAGTCAGACTGAGCACTCAATGGCTTTTAAAGCTAGTACGCAAAGCTGATCTCCCGATTATTTAATGTGACGAAGACACCTCAAAATTGAGCAAATAACACTATGTATTAGGTTAAATGTTTCCGAAATTAGTGGTGGTATTCTGGCGCCGAATGGCATCCTTAAATTCTCTCTGACAGTTGCAATCAGTAGTTATCGTTCGGATTCTAGCCATTTGGGCGATGTGCTGCTATTTGGGCCTTTCCAATTAGCACTTGAAAATAGAGGGACACATATTAGTTTTGGATTTGGTGTTAAACTGGATAAATTGAATTTTATCTGCAAAAAATAATTATTTTTCAGTTCATTCTTTGTCAGTTCATTCTTTTTCAGTTTCATTTCAGTTGATCTCAAGTTTCATTCTCGAAGAGACTAGCGACAAAAGCTTACTGATAAACCGTCCAATCTACTTACTGGCTTTATTTAAGAAGTTATCGTTTATCCATGTTTTGGTTTTACACTATCGATATGAAGGCTCCAATATATCTTACGAGCTTCGGATAAAATTGAGAGAAGTGAAGCATGCTGACATTAGAAGTATGTACGGGACGTATTGCAATTTTTCTTCTGCTTGCAGTGAAGCAAGAATTGTAAGCATTAAAACATTTCGTTCATTATTAATTCAGATACTGTCGCATGTATTGTACGTTACAAGAAGTGCAGCTGTCTGTACGAATGACACACTTTATGCAATTGGATCCCAGAGTACAAACTCAGAATATATTACCTCATTAGTACCGATTTAATCACTTAGTTGTGGTTATGATTTACGGACTAATTTTATCAGAGATTAACCGCTTAACGGAATCCAAATGGAAACGCCGGACTTTATGTAAATCTTTATTTAATCCATTATGTGATTGTTCCATTGTTTTCTTTTGTGCTGTAGGATCGTTCTGTAAATTAAATACATCGATTTCTACGTCAAAAGTTTCCGCAAAGAAGGCAGCCTTGAACACCGAATTCAAATTCCTCTAAAAATATTTGTGGTCAATAGCACCGTGGATAAAAGATTTAATATACGACATGGATATTTGCCTAAAAGGTTTCCCACGGCAAATAAATTGACGTGGTCAAGCTATATTTTCCTTTTTGGTGACACTAAACCCTAAACTTGGACCGTTTCGTTTCGGTTGACATATCCTGTATCATATATCATCAAAATGTTGACTTGATCAGGCGATTTGCATCACTTACACTATTATCTGCAAATAGTATAGGTTATACTTTCTATGAATGTGGAAGTGAATAGGAAACTATGCAAATATTTGGTAATAACCATATTAGCAGTGGCTGAATTAAAAAATGTGAACATAAAATAGTGATGATTGAAATAAATTCTATATAGTGTTTGCGGCTTTGTAGGTATAGTTTGTGTAAGTAAGCAATGTTTTACCATTTTGTTTATGCACCTTGCCATTCGAATTTAATTACATAACTTAGTTCTTCGATAATTATGAGAGACAGAACTGGTAACTGGTAACCAAGTCAGTTAAATTGAGATGTTTTAAAAATTATAGTAGTAAAAATCTTTACTTCTTAAGAAAAGGCTATCGATCTATCGGCCTTACTGCCCTGGATTAATTACACATTTTTGTATGGCAAATTAATGAGTTAAATAAAAATTATGTTTTTTGCGGTTTAAAGCTTTTTGATAGTACATTCCTAGGCTCATTATTGGGGCGACTCTTTTCGATATTTTCACTGAACCGAGCTTTTAGTTTTCGATTATTTTCCAGGCCAGTAGAGTAAAATCTTACTTTTGGTCTTTCTCCAATAAAGTCGATAGGACCAATATGAACAATTGGGTTGTGCATAAAAGTGCTATTATTAAAAGCGCAATAATTGAGACTGAGATTGAGAAGAATGGAACCTTAGATTAACTGACGCATTTAAATATGATTGCTGATACATACGTAGTTGAAATGGGGGGCACATTAATTGCTTAAATGAATTAAATTGTAATTCCTTGTTTGTTGTGCTCCTAGCTCCTTTTCTGGGCAACTAACTGAAAATAAAATAACTAGAGTATATTCTTAAAACAGGGAGTGAACTTCGCATTAAATTTTTCCAATTGAATATTTTTTTACCTTTTCTCGTTCTTGACGAGTTAGCACATTTTCCACCACGGTGATTTTTTTCACTTAAGAAGAAAACCTTTTAGAGGGAGGGGCCAGTAGGTATGTTTTTATTTCAACTCTTATGCTATCCAAGGACAATATGATATTTAAAATTGTTCGTCGAGCAATTTTTCCCATGCAAATGGAAACCTCTTTGTCGCTATGATAAACTTGCACTTTAACCCTTTTTATTAAATAATTTAATAATTTTGTCAATGAGAAAGTTGTCGGTTATAAATTATTATGTTATGCAACATATATACATAAAGCATTTGAAGACATTTTTATAAGACATATTTTAGAGCATTTAAGGCTGATCATGGATTTGCACTTTCCCCCGATATATTACAAAATTATAAAGATAAATATGCTCATTATCGTTATTACGGAGAAACAATGTTAATCCAATTAAATTTTTTATCTCATTAGTAATGTGGTATTCAAGCTTAGGGAAAATTATTTCTAGATGCAGTGCCTCACACTAATTACCCCATCTAGTCTGCGGCTCTCTCATTATTAATCTCAATTTTCTTTGCGCTCTTTTACTATACTTGCATTTATTATTTCGAATTCCCTGCTCTAAGGCACATGCTTTTTACATTTAAAGTTGCTGCTTTTCTGATACAACATTCATTAGATATTATTTTGTTGAATACTATGCACATAAATGAAAATGTTTTGTTGTYGTTTAAACGTTGTTTGGCATTGGAACATTCGCCAAGCAGGCCGCAACCTTTATAAGCTGGAATATCATTTATTCCAGAGTTGTGTCCGGTCATCCCATTATTCTCTTAACATAAGCTTTGATTCATTTATTTTCGTTCGCTGAGAGAAATCTGATATATGATCAACTATAGAACATACACGCAGGTGTTATAAAAACCCGGGCTAAAATGATCCACTGAGAGGTGATAAATTACAAATTTAATCTCACCGGACAGGCCGAGTGATGAATTACCAATGAATAGAGATTGAACAGAACGGAGGATAATAGAGTTGAAAGACTTTGTTGTTGGACGTGGGAAAGTTGCTTGCTTTTGTTAGGGGAAGTTCTGTTTCTATCTTTTTCGATTTTGTTGATCGTTGATTAAATCAATTACGTACTTACTTATAATTAGAACGCGCATTCCTTTGCATTCAGACGATAAAGCTGCAACTCTGCCACACCTATTAAATAATTTTTTTCGATGCCTTCAAAATTTTTTTTTAATTTACAAAGGATGGTCGGAAGTTTAAGGAAAAGTTTCTGAGAGCAATGTTTAGTCAACGTAAAATGTCGGGAATTACAAAGTCACGAATATCAATCCACGTCAGCCACGTGTATATGTTTTAAATTTCGTTTCGTGGAAAAAATTTGCCATAAAAAATTGAAGGTACATCTGTTTTTGTAGTAATATTCTCTATATTTGCCATATTAGTTAAATTTGCTTGTGGGAATATTACAAACGTTGGGATAATAAGCAATATAATGACGTAATAATTGCAACACATCTACACTAAGAGCCAAAAAATATTTAAACTCTTCTAGGTACAGTTAAATATCTATTGGTGGGATTCTAAAAATTTCAGTTGTTGCCTCCAAATATTTGCACGTAAACCTAATGTTTGCAAGTAGAAGTGCATTGGTTGTATTTTCCATGAGGACTCTTGCAACTTTGTTTCGCGAAAGCAAATTGTGTTGCAATTTTTACTGGTAACGTGGCGGTCTCCTGGAATAAAATCAAATTTATATAAAATGGTAGATATATAGCCTTTTTTAAAACTATTAATTGACATGTAGTTCCCTCAAAATTTGAAACCAAAGAAAAGTTGTACGAATGCTTTGAATTTCTTATTCACGCGTTTGTTTCTATCAAACCCAACCAGGTCGCGATTTTTACTTATGTGTAGTATTTTCAGTTAACCTTCACTGACGACTTTTATGAGACCTTCACTTCCAGGTTTCTGAAAATAGTTAATTTCCTTGAAAAAAAGCAACACACCGTGGATTCCCCGACTTTCTCATGGTGCAAACTGACCAATTTAGAGCCGCCATAACATAAAAGTTAAACTGTATGCAAGTTTAACATTAATTGAAGTTTTGTTGCTTATTTGTACCTTAGAATTTTTGAAGAACAATCGTAAAAGTAGCCAAAAATACGCTGTATTGCCACCACATGTCTGGCTTCATGGTTACTGTTGTAATTTTTATGGAAAAGAATGTACAAAATCATCTATTTTCCAAAAGAAAATGTTGCGGAAGCTTAAGCCAGTTTGGCAATGTTTTATTTGCAATGCGAATCGTTTGCCAGATGACCAATGAATTATTTTAAAATATTGCTCAATAACGAAGATCACAGTCCTTATTCAATAGCTATTATGTTCGAATAATTAACTAAGAATAATTCTTAACATTTTCCGGTTTAAAGAAATATAGAAAACATTAATTTGAATGCATGGAACCGAGATAATTATATGTAAGATGCAGTTCTAATTCAGAAGTCAAACTGTTCTCATCTAAACATTCAATATATCAATAGCTGCTCTGTAACGCATAATATTGCCATACATTTTCTAATATATCTTATCAGCAACTATTTCACATGAAAGTAAATAATAATCCTATATCTCATAGCAATAGAGAACTGCTGTGCATCCGCGGTTAAATGAATACACGAACATGAATTTTCTGTGTGCATATATTGCTTCCAATAACTCATCTGATTTGAGAGAAGCACAGTGCGATATCTGAGGCTGACCTAATTTCTTTGAGAAAAATTCCGTATTCCGCAACAAAACGTGCATCCCCCACTAACATCATAAATCAACAAAAATGGTGCCAAGACTAAAAATTTCTATGCCGAAAAATAAAAAGTCTAACACGCTTTATATCGCGTCACAACTTTTTGACAAGTTAAACCACGTTTTTACGTCGCAGGTAGGGAAAGGTTTTGCTTGGAATGCTGCCAAGCTGAGCAAGTTGCAGCAAACATTTTCGGTAAATTACTAAATTTGCATAACTATTATTCAGGAAGGTTATTAGTCATAAAACTACGCTTCAAGGGTCTTACTTTACATTAATTTTCCGAAAATAAACGTGTGGACTCCTGGACAAGCGGAACACAGAATTTAGTGAGAGGCACCGACAAGCTGATGCGTCTCCAACAGAATAATAAAGGGTTTATTGCTGCTTTAAAAAGTTCAGGTTTGTACTTCTGATTTATTGCTGTACTTGCGTCTTACACTTTAGACCTTATGGTGTGACATGATACAAAACGTTAAAGCTAGACGTTATTTCTTACATGGGGCAGGTCTTAAAACGTTTAGGTGAAAGTAATGCCCTTTGCTTTAGTAACTCCAAGTAGAATCTTCACTTTTCAGATTAAAGCATTTTTCATCAAAACCAATGCATTCGTATAAAAATT